TACTTAATTACTTACATACATACATACATACATACATACATGCATACATACATACATATATCCCCGTTATGCGATACTTGGACTTTAACTTTCAGCGACTTTCTCACATCATGACGGTATCGATGGTCTGATGCTCAAGTCTGTCTTTCTGTCACTATTCAAGATGATCATGGCAATGAAGGACCAACTCTCTCTCTCTCTCTCCCGCTCTCTGGCGGGGGCTGTCGTGTGAGAGTCAGGAGTGTCAAGTGGCCGTTCCTTCACCGAGGACTGAGCCATCTTCCAGAGTGCTACGAGAATTTGGGGTTGGAGAACCTATCTACACGAGCCTGAAAGGCATATACGCGCTTCCACAAAGGCGGAACGGAGACCTGATGATGCTCATGACGCTGACCGGGGCCGCCAACAGACAACCAATAATGCGATCTGGTGCATGTGCGCGCACGTTTCTGGCAGGCTAGGGGTGGTGGCGGCGCTCGCTCGTGCCGAAGGTCCTTCTGAGCGCTCGGGCGGACTGACTAGGGTCGGGACAATTCCTCCTGGCCAGTGTTGTGCTGCTAGTTACCAGTGCCGTTCTGCTGCTTTGGTTTCCACAGCTTCCCTTGCCTACGACCTAAGTGAAGCCGTCAACCAAGGTTTGCAGATAGCCGAAACATGGCTTCGCGATTCGATTCATGGCATACTCTCGTTTTAGGCACAGCCGTTCTGCCCTCTCCAAAGGCCGCACAGGAAGACCTCTGACGGGTCCGTGAAAACTCAGAGGGGACCTCAAAGAACGCCCGGAGTCCATGGGATATGGCAGCAGCACCATCTGACTACTCCTCTCCGCAGCTGTCGTGCAACAGCTGGTGCCGTTGGAGGCAGCAGAAGTTTTCGGCAGTGGTCGTGCATGCCTGGGAACATGGCAAGGCCTCCCAGCAGATGGAGCTTCACTCAACTATTGGGCCGTAGAAGAAACAGCGCATCCGTTGCTTCCACCACCAGGCACAGCCAGAGGAGCTTCAGAATCGCTCGTCATCTTGAGCATGATCACGAAAGCGGAACTGCCCGTTCAAGATTTGGCTCACGTCCGCACTGATGTAGCAGGGTGGCACGCCACTGACTCTGACTCGCTACTGAGCCGGTACTGGATGGAGAGCCTGTGGCATATTGAAGTTTTGGCCAGGTCCGGCCAGGTGGCTCGACTCTTTACGACGTGGGAAATCCAGTTCTGTGCAAAGGCCGAGATTCTGCTCGCGTTCTCGCAGGAAGCAGCGCTCAAGAAGCAATGTCGCCAATGCTGACCTGTTTCGGGTGCTGTCACACGACTCCTAGACACTACCCTTTCTCGAACCAATACATCCCGCTGACTCATTAGCCTGCCAAGACTCTGACCTCTTGCTCCTCCACACATCTGTCGTCATGTAGGTCCAAGCCCAGCAGATTCAAGCACAGCCTTCGCCGATCCCACAGCGTCCTCTGCAAGCACGAGGGTGCGCAATTTCTATTCGGGACTTGCTGCAAGCAGCATGCCAACGTCCCGCCCGCTACCCTCTGCGACGTCGAACACTTTGGGCAAATGATTGTGGATTTGCAGAGGGCTTTGAATTCAGATCATGCTTGCGTGAACAATGTGAAGAGGAATACGAAGAAGCACTGCCCTGCAAGCAGTTGTGGGATTTCGGTCTGCAGGCATGGGGAGATGAGAACAGCAAACCTCCCTGTCGCAGCTCCTGGATCTCCGCGAAAGAAACAAAGCTGCCTGCCTGAGAATGGAAGCAACGATCGACCGGATTGCTTGCCCGATGTGTTCAAGAAACAGCCAGGGGCCTTGGTCGTCCGCAAGCGCATGAGCTCGGACACCCGTTGCAGCTCCTACGAGGAGCCACAAGGACGAGAAGCCGTACCACAGCACACAAGAATGCAAGTTTTCGCTCTGGCGAGGCTTGCGTTGTCGAGAGAAGACGATCTTAAGCACATCTAGGCGCACCCCCACCGACTTTTCGGTGCACTGGGTGCAAAGCCTGCAAAGCTCCACATGTCTCCATACCACAATGCAAGCGACCACCCGAGAATCTCCTCCAATTCATCTGGCACCTGCTCCCTCACCAAGGCCTGCACAAAGCCGGTCCAAGGCAACTTACCAGGGATAAGCTCAAGTCGACTTGCGGGTGTCTGAATCTGGTCCGCAGGCAAACAGTCGAAACTAATTGGCCTAGCTAGAGCACCACGACCCCGTCTGCTCGGAAACGCACGGACATGGTCCGGACAAAGCATGACAAAGCTGCTTGTCGCGGTGTGACACCTGCTCGTCAGGAATGCCGCGCAAAGTTACGCTGACCTCAGGCTGATCCACAGACTGCCCCGCAGCTCACGTCGGCACATCTTCCTTCGATGTTTTTTTCCGAACCAGTACTTGCTGGAAGCAAAAGAGCATGTACGCGTGTGTGTGTGTGTGTGCGCGTGCGTGGGTGTGTGCGTGTGTGCGTGTGTGCGTGCGCGTGCGTGCGCGCGTGTGTGTGTGTGTGTGTGTGTGTGCGCGCGTGTGTGTGTGTGTGTGGGTATGTGTGTATACATATATATATATATATAGATGTATATATATATATAGTGGAGTGGGGTGGTGCAGCGATTACACTCCAAATTTGCAAGCAACACGGGTTGCCTGTGTCTACCTCTTGCAATTTCCTGAGCAGATGCGCTCATAGGGGTGTCAGTGTCCGCCTTGCAGGAATTAGTAGCTGCAGGTTTAACAAGGCCAAGAAACCGACATCCAATCCACATCGGAAGCATCACCAACCTCGTTGACTTCGACCGTTCGCGATGCAAAAATTCGCTGCAGCTTGCCGGAGGGTTGCTGCACCTGCCCGCGCCATGCACAATTTGAACGGCGTCTGCTCTTCTGGCTTTTTGGGAGTTGCACACTGCGCTATAGCAAACATTCGCAAACCCATGTAGTCCAGTGGGCTTCGGAATTTCGGTCTACAGCTGCGCCTTGTCTGTGGTGAGACGCCAGAGGAAGTGCGCAGCCGCCGTTCGGAGAACGTTGTCCGCGACGAGAAGTGCACCTGAAGGCCTTCCCATTCCGGCGCCGACATGGATACTTACAAGGGACCGGAGAATTCAGATTGAGATCGGTGGCAGCTTAGCTTTTGTGTTTGTTGCCGAAGCTGTTTTCCGGAATTCGTTCTGGTTTCTTGCATGTTCCCGCCGTTGTCCGGAGCTCACATGCCTTGTTTGCAATATTTGTTCGACACTGTAATCTGGCAACTACCATACTGATATTTTGGCTCCTCCATTTCTGTGGAGTTCGTGAGGCGACAAGCTCCGCTTCCATACTTCGCTGTCGTTTCGTCCCGCTGCACTGTCGGAACTTGCTTTCCGAAGCCCGCCTAGTTTGCCTGCAAATACACTTGTTTGCCTGAGTTTCGGAAATCCTCTTCGAATTCTCCGTTTCATCAGGGAGAGGCATGCAGTGAAAGTTCGCTCTCTTCCTGAGGTCGTGGCATATCTGCAAACCAGAAAACTCCCCAGTAAGCGCAACGAAAGAGTCTAAAGATGTGGTGGCCGAACGATGACAACTCGACAATCACCGAATCATCCAAGCGCGCCTCAAGAGCCCGAGCTTCTCCACGAAGTCAAGATCCTCCTCTGTGTGAACTGTGAATGTGTGCAATTGGCAGAGGGGTATGAAGTTCCAGTTTTGAGTGGGCTACAACGGATCGAACCTTGCGCCGACGTCCTATGCCTTTGCGTACAGGCCTTCATGTTGAGCAAAAGTTTCCAGCTCACTCGAAATCGGAGTATGAAATAGTGTCAACAGCAGCATTGCACATGCACTGCGCATAGCTGCGCGCATGGTGGCCTGTCAGCCGTCGGAACCGAAGCTTGTGCAAGAAGTCATTTCAAAATCAAATCTTGCCTGCGCCTGTTAAACATGCAACCATATGCAACCAAGCTAGCGACTCCCTGCAGCCATGGTGCCGGGTATTGAGTGCCCCAGCGATCAATAAACCTCTGCTGTCCAGGGCTTGTGCTTCGCCGCAACAAATTCCTTGCTCTGTGTTATCGACCACTTTGCTAGCAGTTAAAGACTCAAACCAAGGCTCGAGACCGAACCATGCCACCCTCAAAAGCAAAAACCTGTCCCAACACATTCCAGGAGCATCGCATCGAACCAGGGTGCGGTGGGCCTCTCTTGCTGTCTGCCTCACGAGATTTGGGAGATTTGTGACTTGGGGTTTAATGGTTTAGTGCGCTTTGGAGGTGCAAGTTCACAAGGCAAATTGGCAACTTCTGCCTCGCAGCCATTTTACATAATTCATCCGTTAAGCTGTAGTATCGGAGGATTTAATACTGCTTCCCCTAAAATAAACCTGGGGGGGTCCCCCATGCTTTCATTAGTCTCCTGCTCCTTCCGCCTCTTGCTGTTGCTCCTGCTCTGGCTCCTGCTCTTGCTCCTGCTCTCACTGTTACTGCTGCTCGTGCTCCAGCTCCTGTTCCTGCTCTTGCTTTAAACTCCTGAACCCCACAACCCAAATTGGGGTTCAGAGGCGGGGATGATTTCAGGTGGATTTCCACAAAGACAAATACTGTTGTTGTTCGGTGTGTGTTTGATGAAGAGGTGGAAGTCGTTAAGTGCGACATTCCCGCATATGATCAGATTTAATTCATACTTTTTCATTGCCCACTGTCACCCTTCAGTGGTTCAGAAACCCCCATGCCGGTCTGTGGCGCCACGGTCAACCCAATCGCAATGTAGGGTGTGGGCTGAAGGCTTTGGGAGTGGGACAGTAGAGGGATGCTCAGGTCGGGCCCGACCCACACAGCCTAAAGATCCCTGTGGCAATCTCAGCCCAAGATCCCCAAACCAAACAAAATTGAAAAAAGCATCGCCAAACCATTAAAAACAGAAAAACCCTAAAGCTGCAGAGCATCGCTGCATCAGCAGCGGCAGGAGAAGCCTTGGTAGCCGCAGGACCGCGGTGCCCTTCATAAGGCATCTCTCCGAAAGCTTCACGAAGCAGTTCAACGGTGGTCTGGCATCGAGGGGTCCCGCACCATGAATAATCGACAGTACTCGGAAAAACCGTTGCAAGAACTCTCGTATGGGGATCTATACGTCGAGCATCCGAGAATGAAAGCCGAAGCTACTACAATGTGAGTGAACCATGGTCTTAACTTTCCTCAAACACCTCATCAGCTTTTTCGATTTTCTTTCTGTTCCGATATTTTCCCCCGAAAGGCCAGGATATGCCAAGATTAGATGGTGATTCAAAGCACAGTTCCAAAACGAACAACCCTCGGTGCAGCCCTGAAGCCGCGAGTGTCCCGTCCAAACGCGGACTCTGCTGGACAGGCCCGCGTGCGTGATGATGCCTCCGGAGGAACCCCTCATATTGGGAGGGCTTCTGCTTTCTGATCCTCAGGTTGCCCTGATGGCATTGCAAGTTTAGATGCACCGCAGTGCTCCAAGTTACAGTCTGCACGTGCCTGCGAAACGGGCTTTAGCAGTCTCGGACATGGTGTGAAAAGCCCTTGAGCAAATCGCCAATCCTAACCACTTAAATTGAGATTAAGCGATATGTCTGTGCCTCGTGCAATCGCAACGAGTATAGGGTCGATCTCAATGGACGTCACCTGAACGAGCCCACACAAGCCTCCCTCCTTCGCCGACCTTGCCTCCACTGCGTCAGTCATGCAGCACGAACCACATCTCATTCTTCCCGGAGTAGCTCCATCCACATACGTGCCCTCGAGGCCTGCGCGGAGCTGCCCGTGACGATTGAGATCGCCGAGTAGGAGCAATATGTCCCGATCCTGTGCTCGTGACAGACACCAAGCTTTCAAAATCCGCTTATACTGTTTGGTTGTGCTGCCGGAATGTGTACTGTCCGTTTCGTACAACAGGCTTGTAATCGTTGAATATATACCAGGTTAGCAAACTCCATCTCGAATTTCGGGATGGGCGGAGGGAGGGGGTGGGGGGGGGGGGGCACCAAGGTGGGCAATCATGCCATCATGTGGACACAGAAATGTAGCAGGGTGGCGGCCGGGCATGCAAAGACCAAAGTGACGGCCGCCAGCAAGCCAAATCAACAAAAGCGCCTGTCGCCCGTCACTGTCGGCCACAGTGCTACAAGTAGCGGCAATGCTTCAGAACACTGCGCAAACCGTCCATCACAGAGTAGGTACTCGCGTAGCTGGTAAACCGATGATATGGTTGATCATCGGAGTTGTGAGGGTCATAGAAAGCCAAAGGTTTGCGAGGGTAAGTTCCTTTCTTCGTCCAACCGCATGATTATGAGATGGTCCCTGCACTGCACGGCGCGCGGAAAAAATAGCTAAGTCATCAGGATGACAAGCTTTCTCAAGGTTTCTTGCTGTTGAGTGTCAAACCCAGACTCGCCAACATGCGACAGAAATCATCCGAACCTCGTTCAGCAGCGGTGGTGTCACCACAGACAAGCACCCACACAAGGGATCCCCATCGTCCAAACAACGATTCGATCGCGGACCCAAAACGCCGCAATCGTTCAGTACATCCTGACCCGCATGTCCCAAAATATGGGAGAAGATTAGCAACAATTAGTGCGTTTCATTAATATGCAATTAACACTCAACTCTCTGTGCTCGTCCCCTTTCGATGCACGTTGGTCCACTCCACCCCCTGTGGTCGTGTCTGTGGCATTCCAACATCAGACACCAGTCTGGCACACAAGGGTGTCGAAATGGTAACAGCCCCCGACTTGTGCCGAAGCTCTCTAAGACCTCTGGCGGCCCTCTGCCAGGTGCGGCACCGCCGAGAGCTGCCAAAAGGCTCTGCGCCTCCCGGAGGCGGCGCAGCTCGAGAGCGAGCTGGTTTGGGAACCGGCATGAGCTCTGGTTCAGTCGGCTATGCAAAACACAGTGAAGTAGAATATGCGTCTAAGGCACAATCCGAAAAGGACCCCAGTCTCAGTCGGAAGCTGCTCAAGTCCCTGCCTTGCTGCCGCCTGCAAACTTCGCCTCGGCTTTCATGGTCGGTGGCTCGCAAAGTGGTCGTAATCCGAACTACACAATAAGAGCTGGAAGCAAATGCATAGCCCAACCATAGCCGAACCAGATGGCACCACGCAGGCGCGAACCTTGAGCTTCTCCTTCTCACACTAAGCAACAGCTGTCTCAGTTTGGGTTGTCTCCGGCCGCGGCAAACGGAAATCCTGCGCCCCTTCGAGTTTCAACTCTGGTGCAACTCTGGTGCATAGATTTCCTCTGCTTCAGATTGTGACTTCGGAAACTGAAAGCCGAGCCGATCCAATCTCAATCCCCACAAGGAACACGGCCAACTGCCAGGTGATGCCTCAACCTGCTACCACTCTGGATCGGTTTCGACGTTTCGGCTTTCACTGTTGCCAGGTCGACGATTTCGTGTCCATGTCTCCAAGGTTTGTGCCTGCGTCCGCTCCCAAACTCCCGGATCGACTCAATGCGAAAATGTGGAAACCCTTCTCTCTCTTGCGCTTGCCGAAAGGCCCATGCTCCAGCTTCGCCAAGCTCTTGGCCGAAATCACTCATGGCCTCGCCAGTGTGCGGTCGTCAAGTCCAATGATGTCGTGCCAGAATCTATGCACACATGTTTCTTGACAGTGGAAAGAACGCTTTATCTTGATGGTTTGCGCTTCCGAGGTGGAGCCTTTCAACTTACAGTTGCGGAGATAATAGGCACGTTGGGAAACATGTTAACTACACTAACTACGTACTGATAAGATGGACATCGTCTGTTACATAGGCCAAGCCGGGATTGCCTTTGCCGACCGACACCGCCTCACTCGGCTCAGCCTCGGCTCCTGTCGTATCCCCTTCGCACGTGCGACAGCAGTCACCTTCTGCGCTGCGCCGCCTGCACTTGCATGCATTCCCATGCCCAGGTTCGCCTCCAGCACAGCATCTGGTGAGTTGGGCTCGACGCGAAGAGCCCGGCGAAGAATTGACAGCTCCTGGAAAGTGCCAAGGCTATGAGAGAAGAGCCGACATCATTCTGTTTCAAGCGGGCCAGACTTGGGGGCTTCAACTCTGGCTGAAAGATCGGGTGGAAGTTGTGCGGGAGGGACCCTGTCGAAGCCGTGCTGGGACAACCGCCGGTGGTTGCCGTGCTAACTGACAATACCTCCACGCCACCAAGCACGCACAATGGCAGCCGAGCCTTTCGATACGACGATGACCTGAGCTTCTTGTTGCGCTTGGGAACCGAAGCACCACGACATGCTTCAGCACTGTCTGAGGCCTAAGTTGCCTATAAGGCTTTCTCGGCAGAGCCTGGTCTCGAGTATCGTGGAAGCGGCATCTTTCGGATACACAGGACAAGAGGCGTTCGAGTGATTGGGACCGTGGGAACATTCGTCATCTGCGCTGAGCCGAGCAGCCCTGGCTTGCTTACTTCGGCTTTTGGATCGCGGAAATGTTGGTGGGTCCGATCGCTCCGATTTCATCGGTCATTTATCTACAGCCCTGAGATTTTCCTGTCCCCCTCGATTTCCCTTCCGATGCGTGGGATGCCCTAGGTTTCAAGAGGCAACATTCCAGACACGGGATGCCTGCCTATCCGAACCTCCACGACCACGACTCCTTGAAGTTTCACTAGGTGGCTGCTCGGGTTAACCCAAACACCCAACCGCTTCGCGTGGCCACAGCTCCGAAACATGATCTGCAAGTCAGTCAGAATCCACGATCTCATTCCCCGCCCCTTGCTGAGGAGACCTGCGCTGGTCTTGCGCAGCAAGACGGCCACTTCTTCTGGGAGTGCATCGGCAACTGGCCAAGGCATGAAATCACGAAGTGCTTCAAACCGAGAGTGGGCTGATGGGACAGATCTCGAGGTGGCTGCGTAACCCCATGCGCGACTCGGCGCTATTCAAAGGTAGAGTATCAATCGGGCATGTCAAGCCAAGAGGCGCCCCGACAGCACACGGCGCTCCTCCTCTTCATGGGTGCGTCATCGGGAGCAGGGTTCGAGGTTCAGGTGCCGCATTACACAACAACCCGCTTATCAATTACACTGCTGCCACCCAGCCAAGTCCTGAAAGCAACCGCATCCTGCGATGTTTGGGCATGTGGGACGCTACAACTTCACTCCGCATTCCAACTAGCTGCAGCTGAAGAGCTGCGCAGTTCTTAGATGTATTTCGACGGCTGTGACCGCACAAAAAGAGCAGGCAGTAGTGGCTATATGATATATGTCTCAACAACCGCTCTTTTTGTGCCCGGCACCCAGCTGTGCCATGCTGAGGCAGAGAACGCAAGAAAAAAACTTTCACAAATCTCTGGCCTGATCGTGTCCATGTTGCTCACAGGCCATGAGCAAAGCCTCGTGGCCGACAGGGTAAGGGAAAAGTAGAACAGACTACGCTGCCACTTTCACAATCAATGATTACAATGCAAAGTGTTGTTCGCAACGAGTGTTTCGCGTTCACGTATGTATCAACTTTCTTATGCATGGCCGTCGCAACACATCAGTCACAGCATGCTGAGATTGCGCTCAGAACGAAATTTGCGGACGTTCCTTGATTCCGCATTCTAGATTTCAAGCAGCTCGAGCTCGCACGCATGCATTTCACAAAAACACTGCGCCTGCTGGGAGCAGTTTTTGGTTTTGCCGGTGCCTGCAGGACACCGGAACCCGAGCATTGACACCTGACGTAGCTTTTGTTTTTGGCACGTGCTTTCTCTCAGCGAGGTCTTTCGCATGTCTGTGGAAACTGAACTGCCGGCGGCAGGGATGCTTGAGTGAGCAGACGTGTCCCACCAGCATTACCCAGGCTGGCAGCATGGTCGTTCGGGTGAAGCAAGTGATGGACTGCAGCACCACCGACAACCAACACCAGCACAACCACAGCTACAAGGAAAACCAACACCACCAGCACAACCACCACCAGCACCACCACCATGATAAAATCAAAAACAAAGTCCATCAACACCACAACCGCCACAACCACCACAACCGACACCGGCACCATCACCACTATGGCAACATGCGCACCATGCCTACCACCAGCAACAGCACCACCACCACCGCAGCAACAACGACAACAACAACGCGCAGCTATGCACAAGAAGACCATGCGACAGCGAAAGCCTTTTTTTGCTGCAAGCATCGGCAGGCGGCGGTAGGTTGGTCTCATCGTGCAGGTCTTCAAACGCTTCGAACACGCTATCTAAGTTGAGGTGAATCCAAAATTCCCGAAGTTTGTTGCATTGCAGCTGGTATCAGGACTAGTTGATTGAGTCGAGTCATGTCTGCGACAGATTATCGGTCATTCACAGCCCTGACATGCGAGGAGGGTTGCATTTTCTGCTTCAACGTGAGATTTCGTGAGATTTCGCCCACCGAGCTAGGAATCCGTGCCCATCGATGTTGACAAGCAGACGACTGAACTTCAACGAACAGCGATCCGTGGTCGCTTTTGTCAGATGTTCACCGCACGATTGTCCCTGCATGAACATGTCCGCTACTCGTCTGTCTCAAAACTGTGGCATGATTTTTTTCTACCCTGTCCTGTCCGAGAGGAAAGACAGGGAAAAAAAATCAGGCCAAAGAACCGATCGGTTGTCAGTGTAACCGACCGTCGACTGACTCGCGGTGCGGCCATCCGCCATTGACTTCCTCCTGTACTGGTAGTAGTTTCTCGGGAAACAGAAATGCTCAGTCTAGGGCCGTAGGACGTTGGCTGCCGCAGGTGATAGAGGTTTCCTTTGGACATTCGTTGGACAATATTGCTCCTGAGCCGTGCCTTCCACAACTGCTGGGCCGTGGTTGTTGGACTGGTCTAGCTGGTGTCTTTGACCAGGAATCCAGGAGCACAGAGGCTTGACGCTTGTTTAGAATTGGCCACCATGCTGAATGCTTGTGTCAAGCAATCACGGATAAACATCTACTTCCGGCAGCTGTCATTTGTCGCAAGGCTGTTGACCGGGACAGCTTCGGCGATCATACGAATCTCATTCGGGTTTTGACCATCGGCATTCCGCTCGCAGAAGCAATGGCTGTGTGCCTTTCGGGACGAAAGTGGTCGGGCAGGATGCAGAATACCATGCAGCTGTCTGAGGATTTCATCCCCACCGCTGGTTTTGAGCTCTGGCTGCACCTTGAGAATGGGTGCTACTCCTTTCCTTGTCCATTTCGGGAACATGCGACCGATATGGCGGAGTTTCGTACCCTCTACACTCTAGCAGATGCTAGCCAGTTCGAGTAGGATGGCGTGCCCCGCAGCATGGACTTAAGGCGCGACTGGTGCCCATCTCAGAGCGATCACAAGCCGGCTGACCAGCAGTCCACTTCAAATTGAATACCGCTTCTCACCAAGCAGTACTGCCGGAGATCTGTACCACGGCATTATGCCTGCTGTAGCACAGGGGTGTAGCACCAATGAGAGCGACAAAACAAAGCCTGCGATCTTCAGCTGGCCGTCGGCACCAAGGAGGATGTCGTGTGGCTTGAGGTCGCAATGGAGAAGTTTCCTGCCATGACAGGGGGCCGAATCATCCAGGATGTTCGTTGTGTATCGTCGAACTTGCCGAATTGGCATGCCCACGAATTTCAAGCCCACGAAATTTTGGTTTTAGAGTTGTGTGCTGGACACGCCGTTTTGTCTGGTACTGCTGGGTCGCTAGGGTTCAGGACCTTGTCGTTTGACAGCAACTTTTCACGAGCACCAGGCATCGCATTTTGCATTTGGATCTGGCTGATCCCGATAACATTGACTCCGAGCAGCACCACATTGCCGTGATCTTCGTGTCTTTGCCTTCAGGGACAGCCAGTTCCTCTCGAGGCAAGCACTTAGAGAAGTGGCGTGACAGGGCTATGACCTTCCTCCTGCCCTTCGCGGTCTGTGCTGCTGCCGATCTTGGTCTTCTGACTGTCATTGAAAGCATTGATAATCCTGACAACTCTTCGTACTGGCAAACATCCTTCTTTGCCTCGGTGATTCAGTCTAGCCCTGGCTTTGTCACACGTTTTCACTGGTGTTCGTTGTGAAGGTCCGTCGGACGAAGCTCGAAGATGGCCGAAGCTCGAGAAGCCCGATATGCATCACCTCGATCATCTTCACAATATTGGGGTGCCTCAACTTGTGTAGCAGTGCCACTTCACGAAGAGTCTGTATGTGGCGAGATGCCGCTGTTCAACAGCTTTTTGATGACCACCACTCTCTCTCCGTGATCATGTTCTCGGCGCTTGTGACCTCACCGTTACTGCACATCCATTCTGCGCAACTGTAGCGAGGACGACCCTCATCATAGTCCCAGAAGTCCTGCAGTCCTGCTTGGCATACTAGCTCGAGCCTTGCGCCGGTCCGACAGGGACCTGTCCGACCTGTCCGAAGCAAAAGGCACCTTCCACGTTCTTCAGCACGAAAGCAACCATTAGCTGCACAACTTCATCACTGCAAGGGTGCAGTTGCTTCAATGTCTCCGTCGTGATGTCGACGAAGAATGGCCCCAGCTCAGACAGCAGGTGAACTGCAGATCGTCTGACATCCCAGACCTCGTCTTTCATGGCGAAGTTTAGCTCTGGGAGGACTTTCCGAAAGAGATTCGTATCCGTCTGAAGATCGCATGGTTCACGGACTCGAGGGCCGCCACATGTCGGGTAGCGTCCCGGCACTGCAGCATTTCGAGGAACTCTTCGGCCTCAGCCAGATCAGCCATTGTCTGCTCGCGCTCAGCCGTGGGCCGCAGGTAGCTTTGCGATGCTTTGTGGCTGCTGGAGAAAGGCGGCTTCATCATGACCGGCCGTTAGACATACGATGAACTTTCGTTTTTCTTGACGCGACAGCGACAGCGCGACACAGCCAAGGGGCCGTGGTGGCAGGACCTTGGGTCAGACGAGGGCAGAGGGCCAGCGCCAGCTGCCGCTGGTCAGCCTGTGGCAATTGGCAATTGGCTTCAAAACAACGGCTTCCTGGAACGGAGCCGCAGCTTCTGCCCTCTGGCCTCTGCAAGCGCCATAATGGCCAAGTCCTCCGCATCTGCCTCAGCCGACCCAATCAACGCCGCAAGACGAACCCTGACTCTTGGAACCTTGGGGGGGCCGGGTTGAAGAAAACAAATTCGCTAGACCGCTAGACCCAATGGAACCACGCACCCCTTGACTTCCTACTTGTAAGACTGTCCTTGTCGGAGACTCTGTTGGCTGGAGGCGCCCATGAAGAGAAAGCACGAGTCCCACAAGTCTAGGACATTTTCAGGTGGGTAGTTACCGTTTTCGGAGCCATATAGAAAGTCTATATACCTTATAGAAGCCTTATAGAAGCTCTACATACCCGAAACTCCCCACCTGTAGTTTCCTTTAACACAAGTCAATGTCGAAGGCATGCAGCCCTAAACACATTCGGGCTCATCTCGTCCGATATGAAATTATCAGTATGGGTCAGCTTATCCAGCACCAGGGCTACTACTGCAGCTGGCATTCAGACAGCACGGTGGCTCCAACCGGAGCTTCGAGAGCTTCCTTTTATGGACGCAGAGCCGAGCAGGAAGCCACTCACCCGTCTGTGCAGTCACGAAGTTTGGGTGCGATCATGTACGCAACCTCAACGCGATCACTCGAGCCTACATCTGCGCCATGGATCCTCTTCGAGGGTCAAAGCGCCCGACACAGATTCACGGACAAAGCCTGGCATAGCCTGGCCCTCAGAGGGAATGACAAGAACCTGGGCTCACACTCCGGAGCAAGCCCCGTCTTTCGGCCTCCAGAAAAGCACAAGACCCTGGAGCTGCGTCGACTCTAAAGCACATGCCCGTGGTCCCTCGGCCGGCTCAGAACAGCTGGTGGCCATTTAGCCAACGCTTCCTCGGTCCGTCTTGCTACTCATCAGTTTAGTCGGCTGGCGGCGGCATCTACGTTTTAGAGCGTTGGACGCCCAAGCTATAGTCACAATTTCGCTGTAAAGTTGTCAGAGCTTCTGAGTAAGGAATGAATGGCAGGGCGTCAGGAGCTGGATGGCTTGCCAAGGTGTGTTTCACAAGCATCCTCAACATCTCGACGAGACGAATTTTTAATGCTACAGCTCGGAGTAGACCTTGGCCGGTTGGGCAAGCAGTGAACAAGTGAACAGGCCATGATGCGACAGGACGGCACTTCTCGCACCCTCCCGATCATGCTGAGAATGAGGCTACTTAGTTCAGGCCCAAAAGTCAAGAAGTTGGATTGGTCATTCCACAAGCTCCCTGTCGTCCATTACATTGTCGAAACCCTGAATCAATTGAGTGAAGCACAAGAATCCTGCAGATAGGGGAGCATGCATGGCCCCCCCGACTGATGAGCTGATATGATCTGATGGTGCATGATCTGCAACAGTTCTGCATCGAGGCGCACTGGCTGGACCATTTGCCGGCAGCTCCAAAAGCTCCACCTGTAGGACTGCGCTCTCAAACCGCCTAGGCCTGGACACCCTGGCCGAGCCCAAGGCCTCAAAGTGCCGAGGAATCTTCGCGGTTTCAGTTGCTTCGGCTGCGCACAGTGCTCGGCTCCGAACTTTCTTCCCCAACTCTTCCGGCTCGCCTTCATAAAGATACTAGTAGGATACCCGAAGTCATTCCTTCCCTGGCACACAGAAAGCAGAAGAATTTTCGGTAAAGAAGTGGAACCTCTCCGAACGGTCGGTTCGGTTCCACCGGCCTTTGTTCTGCCAGCTTCGGTGCCGCCAACTCTTTGGACGGCAATGCCGCTGCTGGCGAACTCGCTGCTTTCTTCCGGCCTCGAGCGCAGGCTTTTGTGGCCCAGGCCTTTCGCTTGCAACGCATAACACCCGTCACAAGCTTTGACGATATATCCGATATGGATTGAGAACGATCCGACATCATCATGCGAGATGAGAATCTGCAAGATGCTCAACCTGCGGGGTGATGGGCGGGGGGCTCAAGCTCTCCGGCTTCCCACCTCAGGCCGGCGAGCTTCTCGATAAAGACCTTCCGATTCGGCCTTCCGATATCACCTGTGCAGGAAAACACAGCTGGTCTCTGCCGGCCCTGGCTTCGGTGGCGCAAGGAAAGCGAAAGCAAAGTCTGAGTCTTCGAGTCTTCGACGAGGCTCTGATCAGAACTGCACAGTTCTGCTGCCGCGCTTCAACCACGCGCTGCGCCATGGCCTTGCCAGCAAAGCAGCATCGCAGTCAAAATGTTGCTCCAAAACCTCAAGCAATAGGAACTCCAACAGTAATCGCCCATCATCACGAGAAGCACTGGGTGCATGATGATTCGCTGCAATGTCCAAAAAGTTACTGCAATCCACGCGTGGACAGGGAAAAGAACGCGGATATCTTTTTCCCGAAGCAGAAGCTGCCACCACAATTGACCAAGCTACAGCTTGGTGTGTGTGTGTCTCTGTGCATGCAACTTTACCAATTCCTCTGGACGAGAACTACCTTTATCAGTAAGATGGAACCATGTGAACAGGCTTTATTCCGCTCCCACCGTCATCTGTAGGCTCTTTATAATAGACGCCCGCATTGACCGCATTGTGACAGCTTTAAGTAAAGACCGCGGTGGGGATCAACGACTGGCCTGTGCGCACAATCAATTCGCACTCTTTGCTTCTGAGGACATCCTAGCGTGCTTGTGAAAGCCTGCTTCCGGACTAACGCAGAGGGCTGGCGCTTCTGATGCCTCATCACCATCCTCTCCCTGTGGCATTCCCCAGGTCCACCGGGCTCATAGCTCAGCTTTGGCCCTCCACTCGACCCCTTTTACCAGAGCCTCTGCTGTTTGCTTCTCGTAGAGGACGTCAGAGGCCAGGACAAGGTCTGCCTGGCAAGCTCGGGAGTTTAGGGTTGGCTCTCAAATGCCATAATGGTATTATATGTACAAATAAATATGCATATATGTATACATAAATAAATAAATAAATATAGATGTATATATATATATATACAACAGAGACAGAGAGAGAGCACGAGAGATGTGTATTTGTTTAGTGAGTTTTCCTATTTACATATCTTTTTCGACTCGCACACCCGCTCAAGGCGAGCACGGCTTCCAGACAAGTCCGACGAACTCACTACAAGTAGTTGCTTATTTAATCCTACTGTACTCAATGAACTATGTACTATATGCTATTCGCATACTTTATTGCTATAATTATTTTTGCCCCCCTCGTGGGCCTTCGGCAACGGATGGCCATGATCGCGAAGGTCCAGAAGCTGGGTCTCCAAGTGCTCCGCCACTCCGAGTCGCTCGGCCGACTCCTTGCAGAGCTAATAACACGGCTTTGGATAAGCATCTGCATGTAGTAATTCTGGATCGGTTTGGGGTATAGGACAGCCCGTGTAGATTAGATTCGGAGGAGTCGAAACTAAAGCCCCGGTTGAATCATACCTTCGATCCCTGACACCCCCGAGTCTAGTTACTAATTTGCAAACCAGCTTTGGCAGGCAGCCCTTCCCACTTTTCGTGACAAGGAGCATTGTCTGCAAGCAACTTCGGGCTCAATGACTCCATGAACTCAAGTCCCGAAGTCAGGCGTGCGGAACATCTTGCCGAAACAAGACTGCTCAACTGTGTTCCTGAAGCAGCTGCAGAGGAAGTTCTCGGAAGTCTGTTGCGACCACCTCCACGGGGCACTTTCGTCGGTTACGGAAGCGAGCAGCCCCAAAAACAAGACGCTGCAATTGCCTGAACCACCGATGACCACAAATCCACATGCCGACGGTGCAAACTTCAATTTGCGGCCTCTGAACACTTTCCACAGCCGCAACTTGCTCCCCACGAGCTTGAAGCTTTGGCTTTTTTTGGTTAGCCAGAACTATTTGCATGTGCTATAGTGTCCATCGAGTCAGCTGTTGCACGAGGACGATCTGGGCTGTGCTTGCCGAGCGCGACAACAGCCTGGCCAATCGAAAACCGAAGTCCCCTCTTTGGCCTCCATGTCCAGGCTTAGCAGCGCGAGGGAGGCCAAGCCACAGCCACAGCCAAGCTCAAGGGCTCCTTGACAGCTTCTTGGATACACCTGTCATCTCCTAATTGCGCGAAATACTCCGGCTGCTGCGTTTTATATATGAAATATGTAGGTTCCTGCTTGAATGCGGCGACCTTGCAAGCGCGCGAGCAAATCCTCTTTGGGCATGTTTGTTCCCTGACCTGCAGAACGCGCACTGTAGATGTGGAGAACAGTAAGTCAGTAAAGCATACATCCGCCCTCAGTTGCTGCCAAAGCCAGGCTCAAGCCTAATCCTAGCTACAAGAAACCTCTGGCCCCCATGGCCTCAGACCGAACTTTTAAGTTTAATCATGGGCCCAGGTTCGCAAGCGTGCTCCGGAACCTGACGACAAGACATCTGGGCTTACGGATAACACAACGGTTGCTCCATGCACGTCGCCATTGGCTTCGCTTCGGGCATAACCACAAGACGAGATCAATGTGCGCAAGGAATGCAACCTGGCCATTGAAAGAATGCCACGCATGCGACTTCTGACATCTGACCGGACTGCGACATTGTGAGGCCAGTGCTGCAGACTTTGCGGACAACCAACCTTGCGCATTGAAAGTCTATATGGTTTATAGCAGGACTTCACATGAGGGTCTGCGGTCAGCACAGTGCAGGGAATGGCCGGGTGAGCTGACAGTTTTGATCGGCAGGACATCCTCAGACCGGACGGATGACAGGCTCTCACACACACAAAAGGCATGCAAGCGTCGACGCCCACCTTGGGCCCGGAGACCGTAGGCCGCGGCAGCCTGCGCCAAGACCTGTGCCGCCGGCCAAACCTTAGGGAGGCAAAAGGGACTTGTAGAACTCTGGGGGTCAGAGCTTCTCTTAGCGGCTTAGCTTGAACGAGCCGTGGCTTGAGTTGGCCAGCACATCAAAAATCCTAAGACCTGGATCTGATCTCCATTATATCTTGCAAGCCTAGGTTCGAAAGCAAACTCTCCACTCATTGCGGAAGACAGGGCATCTCCTTTTGGCTTCTCTGCTTCCACAACATTGAAACGACGGTCAAGCAGTGGCGATCCCCGTATATGGGTTGTTGTGACAGCCCAGCAGCTGCCATGCCATACGGGTCGGCTTCCACACATGTCTCCTGGGCCACGACAGGGTCGAAGTCGAAGGGGCTTGCGACACTTTACGAAGTCCCGCCACACGGGATTCCGCGCTGTCAAGCAGATTCACCGACTACCAGCCTTGGAATCCTGCAGTTAAAGACACCGAAGCCCCAATGCCCGACAACAAAGCCAAGGAATGAAGAAACAGCCTGGTCTCATCCTCCTCGCTGCAAGCTTCTTCAATCAATGTCTCCTGCAATCAGACCGGATTTTGGCTCACTGCACTCAACGAAAGAAGCTAAAGGTATCTTGTGGCAGATCCCAAGAAGTACTGGTGTGGCTTCTGCAACTCGGAAGACCTCTAAGCTCCGACGGAGGTTAATGTGCAGTCATGTTTAAACCGGCGCCTCTATAATGCGCTTATTTTGCTTATTCCAGCCGCTACCAAACAAATTGGGGCGGTGGTGTCTTTAATGCGTATATGTTTTTGTTTGGGGTTGCTTCCTTTATGCTAATGGTCAATCTTAAGGCACCCACAATTTGAGTCCCTGAAGCCCGACCTAAACCCCCTTCCATCCTGAAACCCTAGCCCTGAAGCACCCTTTTTACACAGGCTTGATTACTGCGCGCCCAAACCCTAAACCCCCCTCACCCTAAACCCCCGTTACCTACTGAACTACTGAACCTTGTACTTAAGTCTCAAGTACTCCAGCCCACAAATCAAGCCAGGGCCCCGAAACCTACCAAGCCCTCCTGAACCCTTATGATTAAGCACCGAAGCCTACTGAACCCTCCTAAATCCTAGCCCAACCAAGAGGAAACCAGGAGACCATCGGTCTCGGAGGAATAACCTCCATGTTAACACGCGGCCAAACGCATCCTCGATCTTTGCCATACCACTGGCAATTCACCTCTAAGTCAGTCAAACCCACCCAGAGGCCAAACCCTTGCAACCCCCCAATTCCCTTCTAAATTAGTCAAAGCCACCCCGACCCCGAACCAATCCAAGCCCGCAACCTACCGAACCAAGGTCATGTTAAACATGCCGTGCAGAAATGGTCGGAGGGGTGGTTTAACAGGACGCCACATTGGAGGGAAGAGATTCTGTGAGATACATCATGTCATTATGCCAAGTCCCAAAAGCGTTCGCTAAAGGGAAACCGTGCGAATGCCTGCCAATCCACAGACGCTTCAATGAGACGCAAGCTGAGGAAGTCGGATTCCGCTTCACGGCCTGGCAGTGCAAGGGAGAAGAAACCGCAGAAACACTCACTCACTCACACACGCACACACACACACACACACCCACTCAGCAGCTGCAGCCGGTATTCGAGTCGCAGGGCTTCCGTGCGGAGCAGAGATGGGGAAGAGAGAAGGAGTTGAGCGATGGAGTCGAGCGAAGGAGTCGACCGATGCAGCAGAGCGAAGGGCCAGTGCGATGCGTGGTTTCCTGTACAGAAGCTCTTAGTCAGCACCAGGCCTACGCCGGCGAGGGTTCCGTGCCAGAAAAACACAAGCAACAGGGAGCCACTTTACAGGCTCAAGGAGTTATTCAACTCCTGCTTGGGCAGAATCTGTGAGCCTCTTCGCATCTTGGCAGTCTTTCGAGCCAAGGCACTCCTTCAAGAAGCGATCTGGGGCACAAGCGAGTTTACGAGGAGAAGAGACAGGAAGGCATCGCTCCTCGGATTGCAACCTTCCTCTCAGGCCAGGTCATTCAGAGCAGGAGCCTGCTGCTTGGAGTGACCTGGTATGAGAGGAAGGACGCAATCCGAGGAGCGATGCCTTCCTGTCTGTTCCCCGCATCCACTTCCTTAACGCCGAGCAGAGTGGTCGGGACGTCGAGGAGCGAAACCAAGCACGTACTGGCGATGACTTGCCGCTCTCTTTCGATTGATTCTTCCAGGAGTCGTCACGGCTGCAAGCAAGACTGGAACTGTGGTACCCTGTGACGCCCTGGGCGATGGCGAATCCAGCTGTGTGGCTGCAATCCCCGGCTCCGCTTGGGTCATCGAAGGCTCCGCCTGAGTCATCATGTCTAGTGACACCGGATTCTCACTGGACATGGCTCAGTGCACCGCTACGGCAAAATGCCTCAATGCACCGCTACGGCAAAATGCCTTTCTACCGTTGAGCACAAGGCCAGGGGCAGAGAGCATCTACGCGTCTCAAGGCGATCTACAAGTTGCTTACCGATCCTGTCTTCGACTTTCGAAAGCATTCGGGGATTGCCTTCATTGACACAGCTTGGAGCCACGCGAATCTCCACTTCCACCTTGGTTGGTGCAAGACGGTGCTTCTACTCTCGGCAGCCCATGAACGCCGATGTTTCAGGGCTCTGCCTGCGTCTCTATCTGGAAGACCACTTCTCACGGCTGTTACGTTTCAAATGAATCTGGACACAGTCAGATATGCTACCAAGTGCGGTTAGGGTCCAGCATCGGGGATTCTGCTGCCAAGGAACCGCGTGGGGAAAGCGGCTGCTCGTCGCCCTTGGAGTTCTCGAGCACCTGATGAGACAGCTCTGTCTGATTCTCGCCAACTGTTTTCAAATTTGAGCAGCGCTTCGACGGGACCGGCGTCCCGAACTAAAGCAAGGGTCGAACGACGAACGTGGCTTCCAGGTGGCCCCGCGCTGACTGCCGCGCCTGCGGGCCGTGGCCGCCGTGGCCGCAGCCAGCGCTCCGTGGCCCAGAGGAGAAAGGGTCAGATGATAGCGGCTGACTGCCAAGACAACGACGAATATGTTGTGGCACAAGTCTAGCTTACACATATAACAAAGCGACCAGCTTCATTGCTTTTGGGAAAAACAGACATCACAAGCACAGATTCAGGAGATTGCGTAGGTGGCTTTTTGAGATTCCGTGAGGCAGGCTTGATTTCTTCAGGTGGCCGCTCCTGCAATTGGAACGCAGAAATCTGCAAATCGAGACTCCGCGCCTGGGCTGTGGATCCTGCCGCAGGGGGGGATACCAGTGCGCGGCGGGTTCCATCGGCCAGCGTCGCGGCAGAGCGGCCGCAGCGCAAAGGCCATAACAAGGAGGAGGTGAAGTGATTCAAAGTTAGCGCCTATAGCTGCATGACTGGTGACTAATCGTTCTTTCCTGCGTTGCAATACTTCCTAGCTAGATCTGCTGCACTTGTCAGCGGGTGGTTTCCGGGACGGGATCAACCCAAGAGGTTATTGAAGCACGGTAGATTGAAGCTGAAGATCCCAGTTGCGGCCTTTTCAGATGTTCAAGCCTGCACAGGATGCCCTTTGAGGACGGAGCCGGGTTTGCCCATCCTGTGCAACAGAACCTAGTCGGACCTCTCAGGATACCACAGAACTTTAAAGCTCCACAGAAGGCATCGTAAGTCAGAGTGAATCCTCGACGGGACAGGGTTTTGGACTGAGGACCTCTTACAACGGCCCATAACAATTTTTATAGTTCCGTGCAGTGCAACATGGTGCAATGTCTGAAGACCACTCCAAGCTGCACAAGAGATGCCCTGCTTCCGCATAGCCGCAACAGTCGCCAAAGCGCCTTCCCAGTTGCCTTCCGAGATTCGGATGTCTCCGACACACTGCAAGCTCGGAACTAGCCCGGAGCAGTTCTGGCCCGCAAAACATCGCAGAAACGAGACCCACCCAAAACGGAGAACCTCAGCAAGGACTTGGCCCTTATTACTGACAAGTGTAAGTGTGCAGGGCTGTACCCGGGCTGGGGATTCATAATGGCAGCTTGTCGGACACCTACCTCCCTGTCAGTCCGAGTAACTACGCCCACGGTGTCAAGTCACACACCCATCAAGCTATCGAGCGATTAGGACGGAAGCATTGCATGCTTGGTGTGAGACAGGAATCTGAGGTTTGGCAATCAACGATTCAGTCGCTCGAACTCAAGGGATTGGGTCCGGGACTCCGGCGTCCGGTATCGGTCCAAACATGCGAGGCTTTGAGGGCTGCTGGATTCGGGGATTTTATTTGGACTCTCGCGACCCGGGCAATGCAGGCGAGGCTGATCCAGGTGCGAAGGCTGTTGATTTAGGGTCTCTGGGCTTGGTCGAACGCGAATACCTACAAAATCGAGGCCAGATGGCAAATTACACCTCGTTCAGAACCAAACCGCATCCCTGGATCCCTCGACAGAGGCGGGGTGCCGGCACGCTCTTGGCAGGACATCACCTGAGTGCAGCAGACACGAAAAGAACCTGTACGCGACGAAGCGCTGTCCACGTGGCATGCTACGGCGGTGTTACGTACTTCACCGCTTGGCACTGTGAAATGGACCTGCCCTAGTCCCCGTAATCGCTCAGCGGGGCTTGAGGTTGATGCTTCCAGTTCCGGAGCCTGGGCACTGGAGAGTTGTATCAATTCGAAGCAAGAATTATCTGCTGTTTAGTCTGATGCTCGGAGCTTGCACGAATCATGGACGCCCAGCTATCATGGCAGCCCGACCCTTCAAGATGAGCCCGAATCGGTGGGTCGCCTCTGCCGACGGGTCACTGTGGTGAAGGTGATCTCATTGGGTAGGATGTCACGACGGCGCATCTCCTTTGGCTCGTGGCGGTTCGGGAGTGACTCAGCTTGCTGGCGTTTCAACAAGGGTCCGTTTCAACAAAGGTCCTCCATGAGCCCCAGGCAAGCCTTCCAGCTTGTACCTCGCATGCAACACAGCAATGAGTACTCCAGGATGCTGTTCTATGCCTCCTCTTCAATGGATCCTTCTGATGAAGACACAACTGGGAAGCACTTAAAGGCTCCAAGGTGCCACCGTGCCTACCCATGAGACACATCCGCAACATTCTCCGGACTTGTGCATGTCTCAACTGCGTGCGCGCCTGTTTGTCTCGTTTTGAGAATGGGATTGTGCCTGTGTATATGCATGTATGTATGTATGTATATATATATATGCAGGTGAACAATGTCCGCCCGGAGGCTGCTGCGAATTTCCTGCAAGGAGTCAAACCTGAGCTGCCAAAGAAAGTCGGAGAGGAATGATTACAAGGCCGAGCGCATCCGCTGACGATGGCGTTGAAGCTCTGGACGTCCATGCGAACTCCAGAATCCTCCAAGGTGGTCAGGAGGTTCCTTAGCACCAAAAAGAGTACCGGCAAAGTAGTAGTAGTAGTAGTAGTAGCAGCAGTAGCAGTAGTAGTAGTAGTAGTAGTAGTAGCAGTAGTAGTAGTAGTAGTAGTAGTAGCAGTAGCGGGAGCGGTAGCGGTAGCGGTAGTGGTAGTGCTAGTAGTA